GCACACAGCCCTGCTGTGTCTTGGATTAGCTTCCATCAGGTCCCACTAGCCAGCAGAAACCTCCTTTCCTTCCTTTTCTCTTCCAGTATTCACCCCCACTCCCTTAACCCACATGTGTCTCTGCCAGTTTGTAGTTTACAAAAAGCACTTTCTCAGACTCCACACCCTGTTAGGAAGGGCCCCAGTCCATCATTTATTTCTCATTATTGTATAGAGAGCTGAGAAAGCTGAGGATGGTGAAGTAATGTGCCCAAAGTTGGGTGGTGGGCTTGGCATAGACGTGAACGTCTTCCTCTTCTCCTGGACAGAGTTTTCCCCAGCTGCACTCGGGGGCCACTTAATTACAGGGTAGAGCATAGCCTCCGAGTGAAGACTGTGGGTAAAGTGACTTCATTTGCAGTGGATGCTTTGAAAACCTCTGGACTCGGAGAACATGAAGTTGTTTCTTTGCCAAACAGGAAAGGAGCTATTTTTACAGAACCACCATCATTGAAGCCACTGCTTTTCAGTGATTGCAGAGCAGGTTTCCGAGAGTAGTAGCACAGCCGCCACTGCCGTGACTGACTACAAAGCCCATTTCTCCCTACCCAAGAAGAGCATTTTTTTTAAGACTTAAATTTTTTTAGAGTAGTTTCAGGTTCACAGCAAAATTGATGGGAAGAAACAGAGATTTCGCATGTAACCCTTGCTCCCACCCATGCAAAGCCTCCCCCATTGTCAACATCCCTCACCAGAGGGACATTTGTTACAATTGTTGAACTTGCACTGATACGTCATAATCACCTGAGTCCATCGTTTACATATGGGGTTGCTATTGATTGTGTACATTCTATGGGTTTGGACAAATGTATAATGACACGTATCCACCATTATCATATCATACAGAGTAGTTTCACTGCCCAAAAAAATCCTCTTAGGAGTACATATTTTTATTTTATAATTTTTAAAAACTATACGATGATACCCCCCACACAGGATGTAATTTAAAGCTAAAGTATTAGAAGCACTACACTTGAAGACCAATCAGCCGCAAAGATTAAACAATGAAATAACATCTGTCATTTAAGAAAGTCATGTGATCCACACCATTCTATGCAGATAGAACTTTCCAAAGCCACATTTTTGTTGGTTTCTTCCTTCTTTTCTTTTTCCTCTCCACTCACATCTGTAAAGCCCACCCTCTTCATTGGGCTGTGTGCAGTAAGAGGTGACCCGTATGCAAGCACTGCTTTCACAAGAATTCAAAGGTGTAGAGACAAATCGCAGGGCCTTTGGCAGTTCACTCATCCATTTGAAAGATCCTTGCATGGCTTAGATTCGTGGCTCTCAACCTTGGCTGCACTTCAGAGCCACCTGGGCAGCAGGGCCTGGCTTCATGGCCTGTGACCAGCACAGTCACACTGGGCCCCATGCTCAGAAGAGCCCAAACTTAGTTTAATGCTCAGCTGTCACAGTCTTGAAGGTCTTGATAATTTTTGAACAAGGAATCTTGGTTTTCATTTTGCCCCACAAATTATGTGGCTGATCCTGTGGGAAGCTTTTGAATACATCCATGCCCAGGCTGCACCCAGACCAACTAATCAGAATCACTGCAGGTGGGACCCAGGCCCCTTTACTTCAAAAAGCTCCCCAGATGATTGCAGTGGGCAGCCAACTTTGGGAACCATTGTTGTAGAATGGAAGTCTTCACCTAGGGTATTAATGTGTGTGTCGTGGGTAACATCAGATTCATCCGGAGCACTTTTCCGAATTTCACACGCTGATGTACAGATATTGATAAATACTCTGATTTCTAAATATCCTGATCCCACCAGACTAGCTAGACAGGGGTTTTTGATGAATATGACATTTGTCTATGAGTTAGTTCTACTGTATTTTCTGTTCCCTGAATACAGAGTTGCTGTGACAGTAACTGCATATAAACTGTTAGGACCTGCACAGTTGGGGAACAGTGGTCCCTGGATGGTGACTTCATATCCACACAGCTCTGTTCTCTATGGCACTGCTTGCTGAGCAGACCTACTAAGAGGCGGTATGGCAGGAAAAGGGGTGGGTGTAGACAACAGCCCTCGCTCTGACTCACAACTCTGGGGTTTGGGGCATGTTTTCTTTGTGCCTCAGTTTCTTTATTGGTAAAATGAGCATAATAATACTCAACTCATGAAGGTATTGTGAGGATTAATGGTATAAGATATGCAAAGAGCCTAGCACAGTGCTTGGCACATGGTAGGTTGTCAATAAATAGTGGTATAATGTCTCCTCCAAGAAGAAATATTAGCATACCTTTCCCCTCAACTTTCAACTGTATCTTTTTACTAAAAGAAAATAGAACTCATTGTGACAAGGAAGAAATACCGATATTCTTCAATTAGTATACTTACTAAATATGCAATTTGTATTCATTCAGCTCATAGTTATTGAATACCTACTAGGTCAAGGTATCAGAGGGATAGAATATATTTATAGAGAGAATCACAAAAAAGTATACAAGTGGACACTTTGGTCAGTGTTGCTCAAGCAGTAGTTTGCCATAATCAGAAGTGTCTGGACACTGATGGTAACCACTTTGAGCACCTCTTGTAATTGCAGAAGTCAACCATGACTTGTATTCATCTTTTGTTATTGGTATATATTATTTCAATTTTAATAATTTTTTTCCTTTTTTAAAACGTGTATACATTTTTTGGACACCCTCTGTATACACACACACACACACACACACACACACACACACACACATATATATATATATATATATATATATACATACATACACATGCTGTTCACATACACATCTACAGATGAGTATACATATACACATATATGACAGGTCACTGTTGCTCAGTACTTTAATTTTATTCATTTGAACTACAAAAGTTATGTTTATTGTAACAATTCAAACAACATAAAAGTAACTAAATTAATTTTACTAATCTGTACTTCCCCACTCCTATTCCCACCCTTCTAGTATACCCATTTTTAAAAATAATTTGAAGTAAAAATAAATTTGAAATGAATTTTCTTCATACTTTTTCTTTTATATACATATCTCCCATACAGGCACATACTGCATATCACATCCTATAATCTGCTCTTATTTTCTCCTTTCGTAAGACCATAACGGGGACATCTTTTGAAGTCAGTACATATCACTCATCTGTTAGTTTTCAAAAACTCATGGCATTTTGCAGGAGGACTGGGCCATGTCCAATTATTCCCCGGGTTATGGTCATATAGTGTTTGGCTGTAGAAGATACTGCAGTAAACAGTCTTATAAAAATGTAAATACTGGTACTTCTATTATATTTCTTTTGGGTAGAGCATGGATAGAGCCTCCATCACTTTAGAGCCCAAGAATGTGCAAAGCAAAAGCCAAACCAATAATAATAAATATGATACCCCAACTTTTATTGATGTGCCTAACACGTACCAGGCACTACAGTGAGGTGCACAAGCTACAGACATGAATGAGACTTGGCCTGACCTCAAGCAGTTCACCAAAGCAACATATGATTAACTGTCAAGAGCAGTGTTACACATGATATAGGTCTTAGTACTGTGAGGTCCATGTTGAAATCTTCCTATTGGTGCTGAAGCCAGCCTCTAGCCCTAGATTCAAACAAGTTCCACTGACACTGGAACAGTTTTGCTTGAAAAACCCTTTCATGCAGCTTTCTTCCTATCTTTTTTGTAGCAGAAAACAAAAGGAACTCCCAACTGAATCACAGCAGAGATGTTAACTGGCATTTCTAATGTGGCCAGTAATTTGTCTGATTGCTCACAGTGTGCGCCGTCATTTTCTTCCAGAAGCTGAAAGTATAAAAAGACAGTTTCCCCGGCAGAGAGCCATGTTTCTCCTGTCAGACCTTTGACATGCATTTCAGGGATGCACTTACAAGTAGATACTAAACAGCTTCATGTGAAAGAACTGGAAGTTAGAAAACCAAGTTAAATCATAAAACAACTTTAAGAGTACATTTAACAGATTCGACAGGTTGTTGTGTTTTTTTTTTTCAGCAGCTATGAAGTAGTGTCACCAGATTGTTTTTACTCCTGGTGATCTTATTACAAAAATGTTTAAATGCTGTGGCAGCCATGGAGGTCTTGAGCTCGTGTTTGCTTGGAAAAGCCACATGCTGTTCAGCTGCCAGGAGTTCCGGCAGCTGCCAGCCCCCAGCTGCAGTGCCTCCAGGATCTGCCTTAGCTCTTCCCGGCAGCCCAGCCAGTGACTGAACACAATGGGATGCTAGAACCTGGAACTTTCTGGAACAGGCGCTCTTTACTCTGGAGCTCCCCACTAGATTGGATTAGACTGCCAGGTTGGCATCAGCCAGGTCTGCATTATAGTCTGGGTCTCTCCTTGGCCATCCCTGACTTCCTCCTTTCTTTTCCTAATGTCAGGCCTGTGTGGGGATCTGGGACTCTGGCCAATCCTGCTCCCGCCCCCTTTTATCCTGCACAGTGTCTGCTAACGTCCCTTCCTAACTCCTCAGTGTCTGCTCTCTGGGGAACCCAATAGACACAAACATTTTCAGGACAACATAGGAACATAAACGCTATTCATCTCATTCAGAGGACTAAAAACCTGAACATACCTCCTAGCCCCTGGACATTCTTGTGCTAGGCCCTGCTAAAAAAAAAAAAATGAGTTATGACTCTACCAAAGTGATACTGACCCTTTCATTTCAATTATTCAGCTGGGACACAAGTGAAAAACCAAATGTGGGGAGAAAACAAACTCATATATATTTTGAAATTCCACTTTAGTTGCCCAAGCTGTTTGTAAGATCCAAGGTAAGGAACGTAGTGTAGCATTCCTTCTTTGTTTGCATGAACTGATTAGAGCCAAGACAACATAGTTACAAAGAGCAAACACTATTTGCATTGCTGCCACTTTAACCCCAATTCCACTTTGAGCACCACTGTTCTTGATAAGCTGCCTCGCCTTGTGGTTCCACAGACTGAGAAGGAAGCAGGTAATAACTGCATTCTTGTTGCAGGAGAGTTTGGAGAGGTGTACAAGGGGCGTTTGAAACTTCCGGGCAAGAGGGAAATCTACGTGGCCATCAAGACCCTGAAGGCCGGTTACTCCGAGAAGCAGCGTCGGGACTTTCTGAGCGAAGCCAGCATCATGGGTCAGTTTGATCATCCCAACATCATTCGCCTGGAAGGCGTGGTCACCAAGAGTCGGCCAGTCATGATCATCACAGAGTTCATGGAGAACGGAGCCTTGGATTCCTTCCTAAGGGTAAGAGAAGCTCAGGGGCACGGATGATATTAGCACTGGTGGGTGCTGGAGAACATTGGCTGGGGAGAAGGGTCTGCATGAGGATAACCTGCCATTCAGGAATCACCCGATGAAATGTGGGAGGGTGTTGGAGGTGTTCATGAAGTTAATAGATTTGTTGCTCAAAGAAAAGAACAAAGAGCTTTTGGACCCCTTGGTGGAAGGATGTCATGTTGTAGGGCCTTGATAAATGCTTGTTGGATGAGTGAGAATGAATAGAGGGGAACAATGAATGGCCATTGGCATCTGTATGAATCACAGAGATTGAACAGACTTTCAGCTGCTACATAGCCCTGTGTGATTCATGCAGAACGCCAGTGGCCATCTCTGCCTTTTCCCCAGCACAGTTGCCCTCCCCTCCCAACCAGCTCTCATCGTGTGCAGTTCAGAGATAAAAACAAGTTGCCCTTCCCTGAGCCTGGGCCACCTGCCCTCTGTGGAGGTGCTTCTGGGCAGGAAAGGGAAAGACTGGGTCACCAGCACCCACAAGTTTTTTCTGGGGTTGATGAAGAATGTGATTCCCACCCAACCTGCAGTAGAAGTGGGGGCACCCGAAGGTCTATGGCTGGGGAAATCTGTAAAAGATCATTGTCAGTGTACCCAAGTGGAGCCCCCCTGGAACCCTTTTCATTTCTATGGGGTATCACAGAGCTACTCAGAGAAAGGGTGAGTGAGAATGGCCGTGATGCTGATGTCTAGGGAGGGGAAGCTGACTGAGCAGAGGCCAGGGAGCAAGGCCTGCCTTGGACAAAAGGCTCAGCTGGGGATTACAGGGAGCCTGAGAGCAAGGGGTACAGGGGGCACCAAACAATAGGGCAGGGTCTTTTGAGCAAGGACCTCAGGGTAATACCAAGTAGCAGACTCTGTATGTCACCAAAGCCATCAAACAGTAGCTGTAGCTGCAGATCAAAGGACCATTTGTACAGTCAGTCACTGAAACACTCATGGGGTGACTGCTCTGGTTACACCCTGTGCTGGGTGCTATGCCTATAGAGATAAAAGAGACATTGCTCTAATGCTGTGTAACAAATCATGCCAAGACTTTAGTGGCTTAGCACACCAGTGAGTTATTTTGCTCATGAATCTGCAGTTTGGTCAGGGCTTGGCAGGGATTGCTCTGTTTCATGGAGTGACCACTGGAGCAGTTCAAGTGCTGAGGCCTGGAATCATCCAAAGGCTCGTCACTCAGTTGTCTTGTGGTGGATGTTCCGTGTCAGCTGGCATCTGTCCACATGGCCTGCGTGAGCTTCCTCACAGCAAGGTGGGTTCCAAAAATAAGCATCCCGGAGGATAAGGCAGAAGCTGTATCCGTTTTGTAATCTGGCCTCAAAAGTCACACAGCATCACTTCAATCATAATGATGTGCCCCCAGATTCAAGGGGAAGAAACAAGTCCCACATTTTGATGAAGTACAGCAACCTGGTATCTTCTTACACTTAAGGAATGGGAGGTCCTGTTATAGCCATCTTAGAGACTGCAACATGCTACCCAGGTTCCTGCCCCTGAGGACCTCAGCGTCCAAAGTTTCCAGCAAGCATCTGCCTATATGATACTTTCTGTTTCCATACATGGAGTATAGAGGTATCATAAGCAAAGAACTGATGTCTCCCTGCAAATCCAGGGAAGGCTTCAAAAAGGAGGGAGAATTATATCTGATATTAGAGAATGAGGGATTTGCCCAACAGGCGGAGGAGCAGGCAGGTAGGCTGATGAAACAATGGAACAGCGCATTCAAAGGCCAAAGTCAGCATGGCCTAGTTGGTAATCTGTCAGCAGCTGCGCGGTGGCTCCAAAGCTCAGGAGTAGAGCTCAGTGGCTGTAGTGTGGAAGAGCAGCTGCGGGAGTCTTCTAGAAGCTGCATTTGCACAACATTGAAATTAACTTTGGAGGGCGAGCACACACTGTTTGCCTCCTGTGGGTCATTAGGAGGTAGTGCTTTTGTTTGGGGATTAGGGAGAAGGGTGGACAACAGATGTGGACTGTGGGCCCCATGTACTTCCTGGCACAGCCTCCTTGAGGGTATGGGTTATGCCTTGTATTTTGACACCCAACACCTAGCACAGTGCATGCCTGGTAAATGCTAGTTGAATGAAAAACATGAATATAACCAATTCTGGGACAAAAATCTTTGGGAGTGGAAGGAGAAATGTTGTCATCCTGAGTGAGCCTGGTCTCTTGTCTTGTAGCCAGACCTCTCATGTCAGAGCAGGGTATAGACCATGCTTTCATATGGACCATGCATTCATTCACGATCAGCGCTCCCACGAAGAGAGTCAAATAAAAGTGAGTAGAAGGCAGTGTGAGAAGAAAAAGGGTTTTCTGGAAACAGACCCTTTCAGGAGTCATTTATTTCTGACATGTCACCTGGCTGTACTTCACAGAGAGTCCCAACATGATTTGGGGACTGTGATCAGACTGTCTCCCTAGACCATGCAGGGGAACAGGGAGATTCATTCTCAGGAGCCCGCGGAAAATCAAAGCCCCACACCGTTGCTCTGCTTTGGGCTGTTTCCATTTGAGGCCCAGGGCATGGGGGCATGTTGGACACCAGTATTTTTCATGATGATGAGACCCAGGTGGTGGACGAAAAGCTCAGGGCAACAGAGGAGCATGGGAAAGCAGAGGAGAAAGGATGGTGAGAAAAGAGCGTCCGGAGCAGGCAGTGCCAGGAGGAGAGGGGAAATGAAGCGTTTCTGACTCCTCGCACGGCATGGAGGCAGGTAATCTATAAATCTAATTTCAACCTTACTACCAAACCCTGGAGCATAGCAACATTAATTGATGTATCTGCTGCTTGATAAAATCAAAAAGTAGGTCATCAATTTAGTTCTGTAGGGTCCATCTTCTGGGAAGTAGAATAATTTTAGGATCACCAGTCAGAGAAGAAAGGAAAAGGGTTAAGTCCTCCATTTGTGCAGCTGTTTCCTCCCCTCCAACTGGTCCTTTCACACTGGATGGGGCGTCTTTGGAGAGTGGCCCCAGCTCTAGCTGTGAGTCGGTGTCTGAGAGGTGAGCACATCGGACATGGCTTCTGCCAGTCTACTCACTGCTCCTCTCCCGTTCCGGGACTTAGAATCTCTCACATTCTGGAAGGATTGAAAACACCATTATTCTTTAATCACACATTCAGTAAGTTCATTACTATCCATTTTTGGAAATGCCTGTGCCATGAATTACACAGCATGCAAATCTATAATTACATATTTCCTTCTTGGCACGCAAATCCAGGGGACTTAATTTGGTAGCTCTCCCACAATCTTAGGAACAACCCCTGAACCTCATCAATGTCCCATGCCTTAGCCAAGAAGGTCAACATGCTCTGTAAGACCTTTGTGCCTAAAGCTTGGCTTTGTGGTTGCTGCTGGTTCATTTACAGATGGTTGTAACTGGAAGACTCTTAGAAGTCACCGAGCAATGTCAAATGGAGACATTTCTCATCAGGGAAGCTCATTCATGGGCTGAAGCTAGACAACAGCAACCCAGATGTCAGGAAGAGAACACCAGATTGGAAGTCCTGAGACCAACGTTCTGCTTTGAGCTCTGATATGAGTCACCCGGTGGCCTTGAACAAATCTGTTAACTCAATTTCCCAATCTATAAACTAAAGGCATTGAGCTGGATGATCTTGAAAGGTTTCTTTTAGTTAAAAAAAAAATCTATGATTCATTCTCTTCAAACAAATCAAATAAGGGTTTCATTTCCTGGAGTGGATTTGTCAATGAAAGTTGAAAAACCTAAATCCTTCCTGTCTAATAAAAGGACCAGCAAGTGGCTTCAGTGAATTTTCAGAAAAGCAATTTCAGCAGAAAGCACTTCATGAGGAAGAAAGTTTAAATCACTCCACCAAGGCTGTATTTCTTCTATGTGCTGTGTTTTACCATTTGCTCAGCATGGCAGATCTTTTCCCAAAGGCTCTAAAAAAAATCTTTTATTTTTTTTGTCTTGTTTATCTTTTTATGCTGATGTACATATCACTGGAGATTCTTCCTGGGGAGTTATACCGATGAACTGAACATAAAATAGTTGAACATGTCAGAAAAATCTTAATATGTTTATATCTTTAAGTTTCACCAAGATTATGAACTCGACGGGCATGACCCTGTCTTATCATGATATGTGGTTCCCCTGCATATCCTAAAGAAAATTCATTTGCCATTACAAAGTCAACATATTCCAATGGAAAAGGCACTGGACAGGAATTAAAAGAGCCAGACAAGTGTAGCAGATACAGGCTACAAATGTCTCTACTTTCTGTGGCCATAGCAGACCTCATTAATCAATCATGGCTTCTTTTTCTGTGAAGCTTATACACAGCTTTCTTCTCTACACAACATTTGAGACAGCCATTACCAATTGATCATAGATGGAATGTCAGTAGAGATATAACTTGCTGCTCTGGACTTAGATTCTTGTTATAAGCCAAAACCACACAGTGATTTAAGGCTGATCGCTTAAACTTTCTGGACTCCCTTTATCTCCTCTATTAAAACAAAATACTGTTGTCTGCATTCACAGAGCCAATATTAAAAATCAAAACATATGTATGACCTATGACTTGCCATTCAAAAGTCAAGTAATAGAAGAAATTAATGTTTGTTGATTAATTGATCCAAACTTCAGGCCTTCATCATTAGTTTCAGATCTATACTATTACTGTTGCGGGGAGGGGCTATTACAGATACCAACCTGTTGAGCTCAGAATGCCCTGTGAACTACATTCTCCAAGGGCAACAATCCTAGGATGTCTCTCACACACACCCAGACAACCATGAGGAACCCACAGTTCTGGCCCCACGTGTCCTCAGTCTCTCCTAGGCAGCCAAGGTACATGGGGAAGATGGTTTGTGAGACAATGTGGCTTTGATGGCAACACCAGCAAACCTTCCTGCTGTCTTAGTATTTACTGGTCACTGAGCTAAGCCCTTTCACACGTATCATCTCATTTAACCATACCAAAGTCC